CAGTGTAGGAACGACTTCACTGGGGTGAGATCCAGGTACACTCTGTCTTGGTCACTCTCCAGTTTGCTCTCACTCTTGGGTACTTCTTCCTGCAAAAAAGAGAATATTACCCTGAAAAGGGACCAGTAAGAAGCCAGAAGCGTAGGAAAGCTCTCACTGCAGAGCAGCAGCATCTCAGGCACTCTGGAGTATTTTTCATAAACCCTGGAGGAACTAGCCCTACATTCTCTAAGTCAGTCTATGCAGGGGTTTTTGGTGTACTGGTGTACCTGCTCTCCTGCAATGCAGTTTTCCAAAAGTAGCAGCAGCCCCATGCAAAGATCTCATACTGTTGTAAACCTAGCAACCCTTGCCAAATTCTTTGCCTTTCCCAGGACAAGTCCCACCAGGGCATGGCCAATCTTTTGTCTTCTTACACACAGGACTTGCTCTCACGTGCATCAAAAGGAATTTTGATAGATCTGCCTGCAAACAACCCACTATCACCAGATCATCCATGCTGTTTGCTGATGGGACACAGTTCCAGTTGTAGTGACTGCTCTCCAGCACTTGCTTCTGCCTGCAAAAACCTGGATTTCCCCAGGGACTGGGAATTCCTTTCACCACTGTTGGAAAAACCTCCCCCTGACCAGATGTTTGCCCACAGTCTCCTCAGAGCTCGCTGCAGCAGAGCAGCTGCCTGCAGCACTGGCCATCTTACCGCAGGCAGGTCTGGCAGATCCACGTCATCGTACAGCTCTTCCTGCTGCAGCCTGCTCTTGGGCAAGTTGTCGATGTACGCGTTGGGCTCAGAGTACTTCCTCTGCATCAAGCTGTGAACAGGCAGCAGGACATCCCATCAGGAGGGAGGGGGTCTCACTGCAGATTGTGCTTTGTGGCACCTTGTGACAGCTGAGCATAGCAGTCCTGAGGTCCAGGCAGGGCCAGACACAGGAGATGAGAAGGTGGAGCCGTGCAGCAAAGTGATCGCCGCTCCTGTTGCCCATTAAGCAGCAACCCACCAGAGAGGGGCTGCATTTTCCCTTGGCTCTTTTCTTTCTTGCTCAGGCACAGCATTGCCGCAGCACAACCGCTCTGCCCCACGGACACGGAAGCTGCCACTGTATGGCTGCATGCCCACGCATCACCCCCCACCCAGCCAAGCACACCCCACCAACCTGCCTTTGCAAAATCCATGGTGGGACAATGACAAATGTTCTCCTGTCCCACACTGAGCTTCCAAAGAAAGCAGCTGAGCTGCCGCCACAGATTCGCCACCTATTTGCATGGCAGCCAACCTCTGGCAAGCACAGGAACCCCTGCTCTGGCTTGCTTCCCCCCTGCCAGCCCCGCGGTACCGCTGACGTACAAGAAGGAGTTCTTCGCAGCGCTCACAATGCAGGAAACCCTGTCAGCATCCACGTAATCATAGGTAAATTCCTCCGGGTCTGTTTTCGAACCTGATTCTGACAAGAGGAGGCCCAGCCAGTGGCCCATTTCTTCTGAAGACTTCGCCTGCGAGGTGATTGCACAGATAGTACAGGTTGTAACAGCAGTTTCTCTGCACTCCTTCCTAAAATTTCTAGTCAGTCTATGTTTTCCTTTCAGTGGTGATCAACTCAGCTGCCTATAAGAGAAGTCTGAGGTTGGAGATGCGGGTGTGGAGCTGGCTTTGGGGAGGAAAATGTGCGGGTTTTATTTTTCCACCAGCAGGGTGCAGCAATAGGATCACTGAACACCGCCCTGCCAGGACACCAGAGCACTCCAGGGAGTCCCTTCTGCCAGAGCCCAAGCCCCTTCCAGGGCTGTTTGCACAGGGCAGAGGGGAAGGGCAAGAGTTTAAAGCGGGATCAGAGAACATCAAAGAGAGCCCCCTTGCTTTAACATGGTCAGTACCAAATTCCTAGCTGCAGTGAATGGTCTGACATCTTGCAGAATTAAGAGTTAAATATCGTGCCTCCAAGTTGGCTCCAGCAATGAGCTACATGCACTTCCCATTAGTGGGGTATTTCTACCTGAAGCAAGAAGTAGTGGGCTGATGCAGCCATCTTCTGCTTTGCTTTGAAGAGTTAGAGCAGTAAGCACAAAGTAGAAATTCAGGGCAAGTGAATCCCTAACTGGAAAGTATATTTTAAGTTTTCAATCTGTTTTATTTAGCAGAGGCTTCAGTCCCTGGGAAGCCTGCCAGCCAGCCAGCCTGTACATGGAGTCTGACATCCCAACAAAATACAGATTCTTCCATTCACAAAACGTAAATTTTCCCAGCACCTCTTCTTCATGTCTGCAATTAGGCAAAATTTCTTAGACACAGACATACCCTGAATCAGAAGCTAAACAAAAACACCTTCAAACCTCATGGCAGGCCCTCGGAGTCAGTTGTTTAGCTATAAATATTCCACCCACTGGAAAAATACCGGAAATTGCTCACATTGTCCACCTCCTACTATAATCACATTGTCGTCAGAGAGAACTAAGATTAGAGATAAACGGTCCTGGATGCAGGCAAAGGAAAGTAACAGATGGAGATGAATTCACTTGCACTTTCAGGGGCAGACCTGTGATCAGTTTGCTTGGGATGCATGACCCATAGCATAGCTTTGGCACTCTGTGTTTTCAGAAGATGAAGTCCTCTGTTCCTCCTAGCAGCAGATCTAAACCCCTAAAGTGGCACTCCTCTCATCTAACATTAACCAGCTGAAATGCATCCCACACAACTTAATCATCCAAGGTTATCCTACAGTCAGTGGAGAGAGATGGGCATCTCCAGAGGACCCGTCATCCCATCCTAAGATGAGTGCCTAAGATGAAGGCTGAATGGTCCTCTGGAAATGCCAGCATCAGACATGGCCTGGATTACCAGTTAGGTGGGACACCTACGAGACTACAGGCAGATGAACCAAAGTCCCACGCATCAGGTTCTGCTTTGCTGGACTGAGGGTTCCTCTGGAAAACCTCATCAGCATCTAGGCCTACTAAGACACCCAAGCTGATGACTTAAAGCAGGTCTTTCTTAGAGGTATACACCCTACCTCCAGAATGACCCGTTCTTCACCGTTGTGCAGGATGCGGAAGGAGTAGAGATGATCAGGACTAGGCTCCGGGATAATTTCACAGCCTGCCAAACTCAGGGGCTGCTGAGCCAGTTTGCTTCGGTTCTTGTCCTGGTAGAAATGGAGGTGACCATCTTTTATCTGACACCAACGGGACTTCCACTGGCTGTTCACTAGCACATTCAGGTAACCTGCAAGCAAGCACAGGTTGATTAGGCAGATTTTCCACCCTATGACGAGAGGGAATCCAAACTCATTTGTGTGCACAGGGATGTCTGATGGGTAAGTTCTGAGATCACCACATAACACAAAACCACAAGCAATGATAAAGAGTGAAAGCACAAACCCAAGCTGTCCTATCTATACAAAACAGGGTGAAAAGGGTAAAAATATGTTCAAAGTCAGACCCTTGAAATTCAGGTTAGTTTTGGGGTAGTGACTTGTCTGCAAAGTTGGTCCCACACAGCGAATACTTGCTGACCCACACAACTCTCTCCCTGCTGACTCTCACACTCCGGGCTGAGCAGCAGTACAGATTCCCTCTGTGTGCCTGCATGCTATTATCTGCCCTTCCTCTTGGGTCACCCTGTGAGCCATTGCCCACCCTTGAAGGCCACAAGGTCACCTTAGTGTGTAAGAGGGCCCAAACCTGTGTGGATTTACTGTCACAGACCGAGCAGACTGTGGCCTCTCTGCCTCCCTCATCAGCACAGCCTGGCACATGCGCATTTGAGGAGGATGATGCCTGATGCTTATCCAGCCCTGGACACCGAGGAGATCCAGCCCTGAGACAAGTCCCTGCAGAGAGGCTCGTGCTGCCACTTACTTGAAGTCTCCAGGGATCTCTCTGGGCTGTCCAAGGAGCTGGATTTTTTCCTCCCGAGGTTCATCAGGTTGCTCAGTTTCAGGCCAGTTGTGCCTTTCTTCTTAACTACTTGGAAAAAAAAAAAAAGACAATATGTGTGGCTTTCCCAACTCACAGCCACACACAGAGCCTGCTGTGCCTGCTGGGTGTCCTGCCTCAAAGCTGCCTGCCCCATCATCACGCACTCGACTGCGCTGTGGCACACACAGCCTTTGCAGAAGACAAAGCTGCGACTCAGGGACAGGCTGTAGTAGTCCAAAGCCCAGGGAGATGATGAGCAAGATGGCACCAGTAATCTCAGTTGAGTGATTTGCTACAGATACTTTATCTACATTGCTTTAAACTTTGGTTAGTTCTGACCAAACGCCAGGCGCTGCAGAAGCTGTGGGAAGGCTCCTTGCACAGTTCTTGCTGCGCAGGTGTCGGCCTCCCTTCATTTTCTTACACTATAAAGAACTGAACTAAAAACAATCACCCATAAATATTTACTGCATTCAAGTCTTTTCCTTTCTAGAAGTGGGACTCGAGGTAGGGAGGAAGAATGCTTATGCCCAAAGAGTCCATTCAGAATTTTCCTACTGAGCATATCAATTAGCGTGTGAATATGGCTACGTAATCATCAAGTAATCCTGGTAAGAAGTCAAGCTGGATGTTTTCAGTCCAGATTTTCCTTCCTGCTATCATAACAAAATGACAAAGTCCCAGTGCAAATGGACTCAGCAACTGAGCTCCATCTTCTGGGTAACTCCAGTGAGTACTCAGCATGGATTTCTCTTTATTTCTCTCCAATATACAGAAGGGTCCCATGATCCTTCGAAAAGAACATACTCTCTTTTAATGTACTTACCTGCCCCATAGATGGGGAACGCAGCTTAAAGCCCAGAGTTGGGTGCCTTAGTGTGAAGGTGTAACTCTCCCATTGGAGATAGTTCAGCACTTCACACAGGTACTTCAAGTTTCTCTGCAGGCATCTCTGAGGAAAGTCACTTGGGTTGCATTTATGCCATCTCAAACTGTCCTAAAGCGACCTGACCAGAGTCAAGCAGGATCTCTATGGTAGGGCAGGTATCACAGCTAGGTTTCTTGAGCCCTATCCTAACTCTGTAACTGTTGAGAAATCTCAGCATTCACCTGTCACTTGGTTACAGAAGAAAGCACTGAATCCAAATTTGCAGGCAGTGAATTCACAAGCAGGCAGTGAATTTCACCCTGCATCAGGTCAGTTTGAGGTGGCAGTGGCAGAAGAAGCTTCTGAAACCCTTGCCCCATGCAGAGTCAATGGCCCCTTTTCCCCACCATTCCCAGGGCGAGGTTTTACCATCTTTTGTCTCAGCTGTGTCTGGGTGGCCATCTGTGCTGCTCCCGCTCTCAGAGGCGGCAGAGTACCTCTCGGATACCTCCACCTGTCAACAGGCACCAAAGACAAGCTTCACAGATGCATCTGACCCATTCCTCCAGCCAGCATGCCCCCCAAGTGCCTTTACAGTCCCTCCTAAATTACGAGGTCCCACCCTCTCCACAGCAGATGCTTTCACCAGACACCTCTCACCTGCCCACTCACGCTGTGTCCTCCCCATTGCTTCTGAGCCCCACACAGGCAGATCCAGTGCATGAACCACCTGGCTGGGTTCGCCTCTGAGGTGACACGGTGGGACTACCAGTGTCACCCTATGGCCTTCTGCACTGCAGCCCAGCTGGTGGGAGCATTTGCCAGTCCCTCTAGGAGGGTATGGACAGAAGAACGCACAGATCAGGTGCCCAAACAGGTCCATTTTGGGCATCCCTCAGAGACTTACAAAGGTTTCTTTCTCCACCCACTGTTTTGGAGCAAGCTGTCTCCAGGGGAGCATCACCTAAATGTGGTCTAGAGCCTGGCCCAAGCCCTGGCATCCAAGGGTGTATACCCCTTCCAAAGTTCTTGGTGTGCACAACTGTCCAGTTGGACAAGACAGTGGCTGATGCCCTATATGGAGTCAGGTTTGGGTGAAACATGTGGCAACAAAATTAAGGTTGCAAAGGCAATAAAGAATTAAGAGAATTAAGAGTGTTCCAATAACACTCCTTTTCAGCCAATCAAGGGTCTGGGTACACTCATATCAGTCTTTGCTCGGATAAAATTACTGCACCTACTATTATTTATGAAAGGAACAGGGTGGAAAAGTCTAAGTGCTAGTTCCCTCTGTAGAGACAAGATGTACCTTTGGGTAACTGAGACGCTGTGAGTCTGGGATGTACTGGTTGCCTTCACTGCTTCCCTCGCAGAGCAGACCGCTGGTCTCCTGGATTACCTGTACAGAAGGGGAAGCCACAGCCTGTGAGAGAGCTGCAGTAATGGGGGCCAGTACTTTTCCCCACCCAGGACAAGCAAAACCACAGCAGCCTGGAGACCCACCGTTTACAGTCACTGCAGCCTGGAGGACTTTGCTGGTGTTGGAGCAAGCAGCCAGCAGAAACTGCCAGACCCAAGTCAGCCAGGGAAAAGCTGCCAGTAACGGCAGCCCCGGCGCCTCACAGCCCCATCGGGCTCCACCAGGGCTCCTCCTTCTGCTGCTGTTGCAGGGAAAGGGTCACATCTCTGCCTGTCCCCAGCCAATTCATGCTGGGCACCCACCCCAGGCAGCAACTGAGCTGGGAGGCCCCTCCACAGCTTCCTGCACGCAGGAGGCAGCAGGGAGCTGTAGGAAGAAGCTATCCTGGGTCATGAAAATGAAGTGGTGTATTTGTATATGGGCTTGCGGCAAGGAAGGGAGCCAGAGCACACCAGGACAGGACTGAGATAAGATATGGTCTCCCAGCAAAGCAAGGGTAGAAGCATGGGAGCACCAGCAGGGCAAGCCCTGAAGGCACCACTGACCCTGAGCCACTGCTCCGCCTGGTCTTTACTCTGCAGCCCCAGCACGATGACGTCGGCATTCATGGGGATGATCTTCAGCTTGTGCTCTTTCTTCCTCACTTGTTTTTCCTTGTGAATGACCGTGCAGCCCAGCAAATTCACGTCGAGCTGAGGGCTGTGGTCTTTGGAGCTCTTGTAGCACTGGGGAAGGAAGATGGGAGGGCAGGTGAGAGGCTGAGGAGGAGCCTTCCCTCTCGTTCACTGGTGTGAACTCAACCCTAGAAGTGTCTCAGTGCAACCAGATGCATTAAGTGCATTGAACACAAGAGGGTCCTAAAGGTCCTACAAAGCTGTGATGTCTACACAGACTAAACATAGGACTCTCTACAAGTATAGAGAGACACACATATATCTATGTGCATACATGTGAAGCATATATCTGTGTATGTATGTCTGAAGCACCTCTCACAGATACTGCTGGAGGGTCAAATATGTGGTTAGCCAGTGGATTAAGCATCGTTTCTGCTTAACCACCTCAAAAAGTTTCCCAAAAAAACATCTCTAGGCACTTTGGGAGTTTCAGATCTAGGCCCAAAATGTGCCCTCATGCCCACCTCAGCATCCTCATGCCCACGTCCCTCCTGAAAATGTAACGAGATCCCCAAATCTCTGGGACATGGTTTCTGAAGCATTACTTCTAGATTCTTTGGTTTTGCCAGCTAGTTAAACATGGCCTGAGGTGTCACTTCCTTCCCCAGCCCACAAAACCAGGTTGGTTTAGGCAGAGAGCAGAGGATCTACTCACCAGCAACCTGGTGTCCTTGATAACACACAGCTGCTTTGCCCACTGGCCCAGCCACTTCTTCCTCCACAGGAATGCACAGATGCGAGCATCCTTCATCAGCTCAATGGTGGCCTCTGTGGATGGCCACTGATGGGTTGCTGACTTGCCTTTGCTGCTCTCCTCTTCATCATAAGATTCATAGGAGCTACTAACAGCTTCACCATCTTCTATAACAAAAGCAAAGCTCTATATCATTAAATACATTTCTAGGACAACTCTGAGCCTATTGCTTGCCTCAGCCATGCTCACACATGCAAAAGCTTCCAGTCTATGGATGTGTCTTTTGAGGCTCTCCTACAGGAGGATAATCAATAGGTAAACAACCCTCATAGATCCCTTTTTCTTTCTAGCCCAATATTAACCTCATTGCAATGTTTTGTGCCTAATAGTTAGCAAATACTCAAAAGACACTTCTCAGTTGACCACAAATCTGAGAACATTCCCTTAGACATTTTCTGATGCTTGTTGCTTTTCCCCCCCCAGAGATGCTGCTTCTGCATTTCACTTCAAGCCAAAACACAATTTTCAAGGCAACAGCAAGCTACAGTCAGCACTTGACCTCCAAATGTCAGAAGTAAAACCAGTATTTGCAAGGCCATGCAGCAAGCAACAATCTATTTGAGATGTCATTCCACTTTCGCCCTCTGGGCTAACACGTCTCTCTCTCTTCCCTCAGCATCTAAGGGACAGCAAGGGGCTTTGAAGTAATACACTGTAGCAGCAGCAAAAATTAGTCATAAGTGGCAGCTGTAAATAATAGTAATCACATTTTTCATGTTCATTCTTAAATGGTTTGCTACATTACTAGGATGAGTTGGGTATTTTCAGCACCCAGCTCCAAGGTATTGCAGGTTATTGGCGTTCTCAGTTGACAGGAACACTGGTCATTGGTACCAAACTCATCAGAAACAGTGAAAATGTTCCCACCAGCTACAGGGAAATTTGCAATGCTCTGCTGGCGTTTACAGTACGGCTCTATTCACAAGGTCAAGTCATACAGCAAGATGGTAAGATTTGGGCAGCATCTGTGTAGGATTTTGTGGTTTTGTCCTATCAAACAACATGGAGGAATATTGTTAAGTTTCTCTCACCAGAATTTAATCTAATTTTGATTCTTGTAAAATCTTAACAACCACATAGAAGTAATATTACCAGATTGGTGTAAAATAAAAAGAGAAAAAGCAGCCAGAAAAGCAGAAGAAAAAAGCACGCACTAGGAGCTTCACTGAAGAACATTAAAGTTGGGCTTATTTGTCCTTAAAATACAAGGAACTGAGATGGAGTAACAAAGCTAGAGCCTTACCCACAGAGAAAGCTCACTCTGTACACTCCTATAGTGATCAAAGCTGCACCAGCTAAACTCATTAAAAAGCAAATACTCCCTTTCAAAGTCTCTGACTGGTGCTGATAGCATACTAGTGGCTCACCATCTCCATGCCCTCAATGTATAGAACTGTTCATCTTTTATGTGAAAACACTACCCCCAATGCATGATCACTGTGCAGACCTTGTCCACAGACCTGGGCAAAAGCTGAGATGCAGTAAAAGCTTTGAGGTTTTATACTGGAAAACCTAGAAATACCAAGAAGCTAAAGCTCTTCACTGTGCGGAAGCCTTCCCTACGCAGCACCAAGGATGCCATAGGGAACGTCATCTTTTAAATCTCCCTGCTTATCAACATAGGGCTATCACTAACTGCCTCTCCAGCCCCTTTTGGGGTGTTGGTGCCTCTCACCAAGGCATTAGGTCTCAGGGTGCCACCTTTCTCCTCTGGGAATAACGCTTTTCTTCCATACTCTCAGGGGGAGCCCTGTCTGCTCTCTTGTGCATCAACCATGACCGCAACTGTCTCACGAGATGAGCTCTTCTCTACCTGAAGAACTGCAGCCATTGATGGCCTGGTGACACTGCTAAGGCATGATGGAAAGCCGTTTTCCAGGCTGTGCAGTTGGCAGACTGGGACTAACCCTGTTTGGCTGACTTGGGGCAACACTGTCTTCACTTCTAAGGCTTGGTCAATCCCTCAACTCAATCACTCAAATCATACAGCTCAGGCACTTCACTACAAGGTCACCATTTTCACCTACTGGCAGTTTCAACCAAGGCCACAGTTCTATCCTCTCATCACTGTGACATCAGTGGCAGCCATCTTCTTGGATGTCTTTGCCTAATCCACCTATTCTTTCCTGTTTGTTTTCCCATAGCCTCCCGCAAAACTAAATCAATACTGTGACACAGGATGCTCCAAACATCTCATACACTAGAGCTGCCTCTGCTCAAGCAAAGCACTTGCAACATTCACTGACTGGCTACTTCTCAATACAGCAAGCGTTACCACATATCAGCTCCACATCAGTGACTAGACCAGGAGAGTATAGGCTGAGGAGGTTCTCTTCATTGTCTTCTTGAACATGGGAAAGGCACACAAAAAATGCCACCTTGCGTATAACCAGTATGGGGCAGAGAGAGGGGAGAGGTGGTTACCCTCCATGCGTATAATGGGCAATGCCAGGGGAAGGCACCTGATCATCTTTGCTAATTGAGTTGTTGGAGTTTGGGGTTTTGTTGTGCCTTTTTTTTTTTTTTTTAAAAAAAAAAAGCACTTCAGGTTTGGAAAGCATGCCATACCCATTGTTATTGTGGCATAAATAACACCCTCAGTAACCTGCAACCCTGGCCTGGGTCCAGCCGCAGCAAGCCTACCAAAAAGACCTGCACAGTTGAAAGGAAAGAGAAAAGGAGACAAAGAAAAAGCCACAGATAAGCAAATGTGGAGAACAAGGGTGTCAGTCCGTCTCAGCCCCGCAGCCCCCCCACGGCCGCTGAGGCAGCCCCAACCCTGCTGCCGATGGATGAGCACGCTGTACAGAGAGACTTCAAACAGACAATGTCCTCAACCCGTCCCCTTAAACATGGCAATTCCCTTTAAAACAGAATCATTGTCATCATAATTAAAGTCAGTCAGGGCAGAGGAGCTGTTTCAGCCGGAATAATTATTGCTCGGTTGGCAGTCATGTTGCCCCTTGTGTTTTCACTCTGCTTCTTATCGCACCCTTCAATTATGCAAACGCAGACGAGGATGATAACAGTTTAACACATTTCAGCCCAGAAGGAAAGGGAAGCAGCAGCGTTTGCTGGAGCTATGAAATGAAAGGCAGAGGCATCCCTAGCGGAGGGGCAGGAACGCTGCTGATGAAAGAGGGACCCAGCGGTCTCCTCCGCCTGCTTCACTTTAATTAATACTCCCACGGTTTGCTACAGTGCCTCGCAGTCCCACCTCTGCTGCACGAATCCTCTATCTCCTCAGCCCATCTGGAGGCTTGCTTTGATGTCCTTTCCTGGCAGTGCACCCACTAATTTTAGCAGTGTTCCTATTTTTGTTTGATTTCACTACGCCCATTTGTTTTGAGACGCATGGGTGTCTTCCAAGGCTCATGCTGTAATACTGTCAGAAACATCACCAGAAGCTCCCTGGACTGCCTGCCCCTTCCCTACCTAGTTTGTGGGGAGAGGTGGGTGAGCACAGAGGGCTTGGAGTTGTTACTGGGTCAGGCTTTAGCATCTTGGGCCAGGGCAAACCCATACATGTCCAGACCGCTCCATAGCAAGTGCAGTGACACCAAAGTCTCCAGGCAGTTCCTAGCACTGAGCATCACTCCACATAGGACAGGTAGAGGGTACTACTGCCATCTAACAAGGCAATGCGGAGAAAAAGAGATGGAGAGCCCTGTTCTGCAGTTGTTGAACCAACAAGCAGGACCAAGACCTGCAGGTTTGCCCACGTGTCATGGGATTTGAGGGAAACTGGGGCACCAGACGCTTCCCAGTGTCACTACCTGACCTCCCCTCCATGCCCTATTTCACCTTCTCCTGAGCCCCCACAGCCTCCTCCTGCCACATACCTTCTGCTCCTCATCTCTCCCTGCTACTTCTCACTCAACCCAAGGCACCACCTCAAACACGATGTTGCCAAAGATCGCAGACATTTCCAGTGAGATGATGCTGCCTTCCTTCTCACACAAACCACCTTACAAGCCATCGGCATTACAGCACACCAGGTAGTTTGTGTAGAAGAAGGGACCTGCTGGGTCTTGCAGAGGCATCCAGCAGCTGAGCAGGCACAGGAGGCAAAGGCACCACACACCTTGGAGTTGAGGGGCTGCCCGGACTTGGCATGTCCCATCTCTGTTCGCTTCACGGGCTCCTATCTCTGCTTACAGCTGCAATATCGCTCAGTAAAACACCGAGCTCGCTGGTCAAACAGCTACCTGTAGCTGCTCCACCAGCACCCAGAATGTCTTTCTGACAGTGCCTCCATCATATGGTTATTTTCTCTCTTTTTGCAGGTCTCTGATCTATCATTACCTTAGGCATCTCAGTGGCCTAGATTTCAGTGGATTGGTGGGTGTATTTGCATCTCTGAGCAGCAGGTTACCAAGGAAAAGCAGAGGTTTAAGCTGGGTGTGTGCTTATTGCTCCTGCCAAGCCAAGGCTCTGAATGCAACATGAGCTTATGGAACTGCCTGAATAACATAACCTGGGTTTCCCAGCACATGGATCCATGGCTCAGCTCCAGCTAGTCCAGTGTAGGCCTTCACATGCCATGGCTCTTGGCACATGATCCACTTTCCCAATGTGCAGCAGGAAAGAAAGAAATCCATTTATCTTACAGTGCAGGCAACTGGAAACCCCCCACGGGGAGGAGGCTGCCCCAGCTGCAGGAGGGCTTCACCCCGTTGTGCCCCATGCATCACAGGCCTGACCTCAAGCAAACAACCCTGACAATTTTCGGCAAAACTGAACTGGCATCTCACTACACAGGGCAGAGCTGGGGGTCCTCTCCTCTGCACCAAATGGCACGTTTCATGCCTGCCATGATGAGTCTGCACCTTTTCCCACCTGAGCTGAGCACAATCTTTCTGTTCCTGTAACGTGGTTGCAACCAAGAGAGGATGATTCAGGGAAATTAAGATCCTTCTACATTTCCCAATTACCCAAACTGAGCTATGAGTTGTCCAGGAGCACAAGGTGCACACACGCAGCGAGGGCTGTTCGGATGCATCAAGCCCGGCCGCTTCACACAGTGGCATCACTGGTGCTTCCCTGGCAGGCAGCTTCAGAGCCTAGTGGGGCACCGTGGGGCTGGAGAGGTCTCAGCTTCTCTCCTAAGTAGTTCAGATTAAACAGCCAAAGGTTTAGATCCTAATCTCTTACCCTTCACTCCCACTTCTTGGCTTGCCTCGACTCTCTCTGCTCGGTTGTGCCCCACACCACGTATGTCATTGAACCCCCACTGCTTGCAGTTAAGGCTGATGAGCAGAGATCTGCTTCTGCAGCAGAGTGATATAATCCATCTCGTTTGGGCTTAAACAGATTATAAAGTGATGACAAGATCTGCTATCAGATCAGCAAGAGTTAATCTCTCACAAAGGGTGTTCACCAAGAGAAGGATGCAGGAATACATTTTAAAAAGTGAAAATCTGGGAGCTCAACCTGTGTGCAGGAGCCCCCTCCTGAAGGGTGGGGAGCCCGGAGGTGACAGGTACCAGTGACACTGCTGAGGCCGTTGCCGGGAGGTCCCAGCCCAGGCTGTGAGTGAGTGTATGCAGAAGGAACCCACACACTATCACATGAAGCGTGGCTTTTTAATCAAGTTTACAGATGGTTAAATTGCCACAAGAGACGAGCTGAATAAATAGCCAATTATAAAAATGGTTATCGCATCTAACAGATCAACAGTCACGGATTTTGAGCCCCAAAGGGACGATTAGAACAGTAAGACATGAATACATGCCACCACAGCTTCGCCACTCACACCCAGAAAGAAACCTGCATTTGACTACTGCTTACCTGCCAGAAAACCATCAAGACAAAGAGAACCCACAACAGCTTATAATAGTTTACAGTGATGTTATATTAAGCTAGGCATTTCTACAGGAAAATTAAAAAACTGAGTAATTCAGCAGCCATTTCTTTCCAACTAGCATTACATCTGTAATATCAAGTGTGACCAACATCAGAAAACAAATTTTTCACATAAGCTATAAGAAATGCCTGTGCTTTCATTTACTTATTCTCCTCAAGTCCTCCATCTCCCACATGAACCCCTCCCCAAGAGTTAGCTGTGATATACCATTTACAGAGACATCATACGGTTCAGCCTCTTCATAATATCCCTCTGGGGATTCGATCTTGGGGACTGGAGGTTGTTTTGTTTCAGGAATCTGCAGAATAAATAAATAAAAGAAGCATGATTTAAGGTAAAAAAAGATCCTTGAAAACAGTGGGGCATCTTTTTAAGTTTTTTTTAGTACTAAAGTGCATCCTAGCGGTGAGATGGTTTAGATGTGTACACCAGAATCTTCACAGAAAACGGTCAAGTTGGCAGGGAAGAAAGAGACTGCTGAGAGTCTCTAGTGTACAGTTAGCTCAGATATAAAGGAGTTCTTTGAAAGTACTGCGTAATTGCATCATAAGTGTTATTTCCCTTAATATTGCTGAAGGCCCTGGGAAGATCAACTCATAGGTTTCCTCAAAAGCAGCAACTGCAACTCACTGGCTTTCCTGTAAACTGGGACTTCTGCCTGTTGCACCAACCCCCCACAGCTGCTCATAGTGACTAGAGTGGATCCTCTGTACTACTGATTATCTTAACAGTGAACCAGAAAGGCAGACTTTTGGTGCAACCCTGGCTTTACACAGAAAAGCGTAGCCTGGTCATCTCTCCAAGTCTCTGGCTGACAGCAAACCAATAGCTAAAAATCTCTGCTTTAGGAATTATATCAGGAATCTTTAATTGTGCTCTGAGTAAAAAACGAAGGAAATGGATAAACAACACTGATGGAAAATGAGCCTTTGAAAACAGTCCAAGTGCTGGAAAATCCCTGTGGTGCCTGCCAAACCCCTCCCTAAACACAAGCAAGGGCTGGCAGGAGAAACAGTGCCTTGATCCTTCAGAAATACCAACACATGAGGGGAGGGGAAAAAAACCAAAACGGAAAGCTAAGAAATAAACTTTTTACTTTTCGAGTAATTCACATAGCTGTTGAAAGTGAGACAGCAGAGCTGGAGATCACAGTAGGACGAACGCACACCTTATGCTCTTTGTTCTTCCCAAAATACGTGGTGTCCCATCTCTCACCATGACATAACAGCAGTGTCCCACCCCCCTGCTCCCCAGGGCGGTGTGCCCTCTCCTCGCCCAGGTCAAACCACCCCCGTCCATCTGACAATGGTATGCTCTGGCTCACAACGCTTCATCTGGCTTCTGACCAACACCTCTGCAGAGACAGCAGTGTTGAAGGTCATGGATCACGCAAGGTCCTTCATGCCAGCCTACGTGATTGCTCCTGGTGGCCTGGAGACAAGGGGCCAGCTGGGCTCCAGCACTGCAGAGCAGTCTAAGGCCAGATCAGTTCCTTTTCTGGTCATGCCAGCATCACCAAATGCAGGATCAAAGCTGTCCATCCTGCCCCGGATATTTCCACCAACATGCACTGCTGTCTGGAAGTAGAAAGGAAGCTTTAGAGGAAAACATTTCTGGCCAGCAACTGCCCACAAAAGGAGATACCGCTGAGCCTGTGGGAACCGAGGTACCCTGACCATACCAGCCAAAAATCACACATTTCTGCTCCCCCACGGGCGAGGTGCCCATGGCTCTGCAACCTCACAAACTTCTCAAGTGTTTTGGATGGAAACTCCTTCCTACATGGGCCTGCCAGATGCTGTGAGCAGACTCTGAGCCTGTTTTCCAGGGCCACGTAGGACACACTGCCGGAAAATACTTGCCTCCAAACACTTAAAGGTTTAGGAACTTGTCCTAATGTGTTAAAGAAACAAACTCAGCCACTCCAAAGCTTTACTTAATCCCTTCCCTGGCCCAGGAATGTGTCTGCAGTTGCCATCTGTGGTGGCCTCCTGCGTGGACAGTTCACGTTGTGCTACGACCATAAACAAATTGCCTACACAAAGGAACGTTGTGGGTTTATTTGACCCCATCACAGAACCATCAGGGAAGGGGAAGCAGGGAAAGGGGCTGGTTTGTTTCCTACAGACAATGGAAGCCAACAGGGACTAGGTGGGACTGCACCTCAGCTGCCCCAGAAGCTATTTTTTCCACTTCACTTTCCCCAAGAGCCTGGAGTTGTTTTGTCTCTCCCTTAAGTCTAAGAGTATACACTGTGTTATCTAATCCAGGCTGGCCCTTGAAGAACATTTGCCTGTTGGATTACAGCACACCAGAGCACACAAATAAAACCATCTTGGGCACCTGCATCCACACCGCAATGACTTTCTCAGCAGACGGCTGTGGAAAGCAGCAGAGCTGCCAAGGCTACCACAGATGAAAGATCACCAATGTCTGAGCCACAGCCTGCAGGAATTATCATTTAAAGGTTGCTTTGAGATGAATCCAAAGAAATTAGTGGGATCCAGCTAGGCCACTCCCATTGCGTTGCCCATCAACTGTTGGTGTCAGCAAATACCAGGGACAATCTGCTGTGCAGAGCTTTATCACCACATTTCTCCTGTGTCTCCAAAGGCAAGTGTACAGCAACACCATGGGGTGCCTTAATATCAGCAGAACACAGAAAACTTCACAGAGCTAAAATAAATATACTCTGAGGTCTTCTCCCAATCTCTCTGTTTCTGTGTAAAGAGTTGTGCTCCCTCCTCCACCACACTGGTGGCCATGGCTCCTGCCCATGCCAGGAGCAGCAAACAGACAGGGAAAATTCACTTCCCTGTAGCAGCAATTTCCATACACTAACTGGGACCACATTAAAGCTCTTCCCCAGCCCCATTCCTTGAAGTATGCTCAGGTGTCTTTGCAGCCAACAGCTCACTAACACTCAGATACAGCAAGGGAGAACTTGATTGCTTATCCAAGGGAGGTTAATTCCGGTGTTAAGCAGGTGGGAGAAGGCAGGTTCCAGGCACAGGCGTGGGAGAAGATGGGTGGAGCTTAGGTACCCTTCTCAGCTAAAATCCAAGACTGTTCTTTTTTTTGAAGTTCCCTCATTTAACTTCCTGATTGCCCTGTCAGAAAGCTGGGCTGCACCAAGGACAAGAGATGCCCTGGGGACACCCAGCTGCTGCTTCCCTGGCCATGCCATTCTCCTGCCCTCCTCCCTGCCACAGTCACCATCCCCTCTGGCTTTGAGAAACCTAAAGCCAAACAGTGATTCCAGCTCTGGTCGCTGCTCCCAGGAGACTCCAGCTCCAGTGCTGTACCCTTGGCTGGCTGCATGGGTAGAACCCCCAGGGCTGGAGCAGCTCCCAGCAGGGAACCACACTGCAGCCATGGGTTTGTCAGCTGCATCCCATCCTATCCCTTCATTTTCCCAGCTCCTCCAGCTAACTCCAGCCCCCTGGGCAGAAGTCCTGAGGCCTCATCCCATGTCCTTCTCTCTGGGAAAGGAGTAGATTCTCCTCTATGGTTGATGCATGCAGCACCCTGTCCTCCTCCATGGCTCCCCCTCCTCTCCGTGCACACTGTCTGCCCTTCTTTCCTTTCACATCCTGAAATCCCAGATACAGCGATTCCCATGTCAGATCAACTACCAAACAGCAACATCTGGGGGCTTAAGGATGACCTGTGTCTCTTGAGAACAGCCGGGCCGGCTGTCTCGCACAGAGACAAGATCCCACTGAAAACTGATGGTGTTGACCGTGGCTAGAATTACAGCTGCCCTATAGAAAAATCTACAGTGCTGGTGACTCCTCCTCACAGACCTGTGGGCCAGCGTGACACCCAGCATCACCCGATGCACAACACCAAGCACTTCAGCTGGACGCAAACCTGATCCGCTCTGCTAACGGCCAAACTGTGCAAGGCTCTGCCAGTGAGAGAGATCCTGACGCTGCCTGGGGATCACCCCACCACCCTGCAGCTGAAGGACTTCTGGTTTTTATAAGTTCAAGTCAACAGCCTAGGCACAGTTGCTTTACAACTTTGGGGCAGGGGAGAAGATTTCCAAAGCAACAGCTGAGAGCCATCATCATCTTTCTTTGCAAAATCTCAATTCTCTTCCTTCTTTGAGCCTGGATTGCCCCGGTATGGGTGTGGGTTTCCTTGCATGCTTCCGCACACGCAAGGGAAGCCCAAGGCTTCCACAGCTGCCTGCTCTGTCTGTGCATGAGCTGTGGGAACCACAGGGGTTTCTGGATGCCCAGCTGTTCCAGAGCATGGCCACCCTGCCTGGGTCACCAGCGAGCCACCGTACCTGCAGCAGCTGCCCACTGACCTGCAGCCTAAACACAAAATGTACATCTTGAAACCCAAACAATGGGGACACCCTAGTTGATGGGGGGGTTGGGTTTGTTTTTGTTTTTTTCCAAATCAAGTTCACCAGGACTATTTGCCTCACTCACATACATGAGCAGAGGTCTCTCCATTTAGGCATGCTGCACAGTACGTAACAAAAGTGCAGCCTCACGGGGCTCACACCACCAGGCTGAGGGCATGCAGTGAAAAGCGAAGGATTTGCAAAACATACCTTTGGAGGGGGTAGATCCGGCAGGCTCTTCTGAGGAGGGGACGAATGCACTCCTGAGTCTCCATTGGTCAAGGAGTTTCTGCGATCCAGCACTACAAGGCAGAAACACAATTATATCGATGACGTGGCATTTCCCAGCAAAGAACTTGCTACCCAGGGCTGTGCAGGAGCAGCGAGGTGCTATTTCAGTAGGAAGCAGAGTGGCAATTACAGGCAGCACTGCAAGGCCACCATGTCATTTCAGGCCATACCCAGGAATGTGGCACTAGGAGACTCTGCAAAAGCTAGCTGGTCTCTGGTTTTAGGTCATGTTTTTCCTTTTGGAAGGAAAACTGTGAAGCCCAGACCCCATGCCGAAACTCTAAAGGGTCCTGAGAAGCTCAGCATGGGCAGACACTACACAGTAGCTGGAAATTCACAGCATTTTAGTCCCTGCTTGGCTCTGACCTCTGCTGCTGGGAGCAGACGGATCAGTGACTGTCCCCACCTCTTCTGCCTTTTCAGAAAAATGGAGCTAATACCACCCTTCTCCCAGAGGGAACTGCAAAGGCTGCTGCCTAGCTGAACTGGCCAAGGGTTTATCGAAGTCGGCCAAGAACAGTAATTTAGTCACTACTGAAGGAAGAGTTCCTCTTGAAGTGGCCCAGGACAAACATGTGAAAGGGCATATGGCAGCAGAACTGCTCCAGGCAATCTGTGTCTGCCTCTGGAAAGTCAGATTTTCCACGCAGCTGAACGCAGCGTGATTCAGTAGCTGGAGGGTATATCGAAAGCTCAGAAAACTTATGCTCAGTCCTTCTTCACCCTCCACAGAATTCCTGTGTGGCCTCAAACAAGTGCCCAAATCCCACGACCTCTGAGACAATATAATGCAGCAATGTTCAGGAAGAAGTGGGAGCAAGGCACGAATGGCTCAAAAATTAAGGACTTTAAAGGCACTGTACTGTGCAGAGGGGAAGTCGCCTTTTACAGAGGGTCTCTTGAGAAATGAGGCTAAGGTATATCTAGATATTACAAGCTCAGTAGATTAAGTGAAGGAATTAGGTCCAAAACTTGCACTGTTGATGCTCCAGCTCCCTTAGTCACATATTGATGCTCCAGCCACACTCCTTGGGCACACACAGAAACCGCCGAGGCATCGTGCAGTGCCCAGCAGTGGTTAGCACTGCCCTCTGAAGATGTGGGCAGGAGCTTCGCTGCATATTTCTGGGCTTTAAAAATGGAAGCTGGAAACCACGTTACTTTGTTCACGTCTGGAGCTTGGAAGCCACAATGACAGCTCTGCCCTGCCAGAGTGCAGCCAGCTCCCGGTCTGGTGGCACAAGAGCCCAAAACTTGTCTCTTGTGACAAACTGCTTCCTGTGATGCCCATCTCCTGCTGATCAGCACTGGCTAAGTTCAGTAAGTCAGGAGAACATGGAGATCCAGGATCAATGGACACCAACTCCAAGCAGTTGTCTGCACCCTGCAAGTAGGGGTGCTACACGTCTTGTAAGGTTCCAGCAGAGTAAAGCAGGTGAGCCTCCGATACAAAGTGATCACGGCGACATCACCCTACCAAAATACTCCATGATTCTCTCCGTTCGGTCCCCATGCATTGCCTGATCTAGTTGAGAGGCATCCCTGCCCATGACAGGAAGGTTGGATTAAATGATCTCTAAGGTCCCTTCCAGCCTAAGCCATTCTATGATTCTATGATTATGCTTCTAGAGTCATATCTGGAGTCATACAGGCTGCTGTTGGAGGCTGGCCTTTTTTTCTGCAAAGGACCAAGGAGGTGGCTCTTGCAGGGTGGACACCTTCCATCAAGAGCAGCTGCTGAGGCCATCACTACATCTGGAAACACCAGAAATAAGATCAAGATTTCCTAAAGCCTGAGTGGGCTACTCCCCAAGACGGGATTATGTCTGCACTCACAGTTGTCCACACAGGGAACTTTTTAGGGGTCTCTCCAGCAGAAACAGGCCAACTTGCATCCTCTTGCCTCAGGCAGAACCTCCTATGCTCAATTCCACAGAAGAGAAATTGTTGCAGAGGTAAAAATTACTGCCAAACCTTTCACAAGTGGTGGTCATTTGTTCTTGAATCTCCATTAAACCTAACAATCGTCCCACTGAACCCCACCGAGCCAGGAAAATACTGTTTGATTTCTGTACCAGCAGTACCTCCTCCTCCCAGCAACCTTGGAGCACAGGATGGAGACCACAGCTTTGGTCCTCACCCTGCTGGAAGCCTGCCCACCTCCAGGGACATTTGCTCATGTACTCCAGCTGAAAAGCAGAGCAGGATGCAATGGAGCTTTGATTTTCAGGCTCTGTGCAGGAAGAACCACCCCTCTTAACCTTCCTCCTGACAAGGGAGATGTTAAAGGGGACAAACACCCAATGCATGCATTCTGCACAGAGAGTCCACACAGCATGTGCTGTACATATCCCTTCCTTCTCCTGCTACAAATCACAGACTGTTTCCTTACTGGGGTGGGAGGGAAGAACTATTTTCTTTCTAGAGAAGCATTAACACTTCGCAGGAGTCTTCTTACAAAGATGACTCTCCAAAACGTGGAGTTTGGAGAAAAGGTATGGGAGGGAAAGAAGAACTAAAAACAGCCAAAAGCCTGCTAAAATCCCCACCTGTACTAACTGTTAACTGTCTTCTCTGCTCTTTGTAGAAGTGAATGTCTCCTGGTGTTTGGGCTAAGAGGACCGAAGTGTGCTCCACACCAGAAGCTCCCAGACTCCTGTATCTCAGCCCCTCTGTGCTGACTTCCAGAAAAAGATGTCATTTGGCTCACGGAAGAGCCCTCATGGACTTGCAGGACACAGAACTGTGTTTCTCAAGTAAATGAGATCAATTAAATGATGGTGCTTTCACCAGTCCCTGCAGTGAATTCAATCACCTAACCATAGAAAGGCATCTCAAGAGCAGCATACCATTCAGCTTAAATCCTTATCAATGAAATTGGAGGTAGATACAGTGAGTAGTGAAGATGTTTTTTGCAGAAATAGCATTCTTTAAGGTTTGCAGAGGGGACTTTAGGAGTTGATGTTACATTGGAAAGCACTTCAGCCTGTGCTGCTAGAGCACATTTGAACACGGCTATGGTGGCGCAGAAACCCTGCAGGGCATGAGAGCTCCTGCTGGCCTGAGCCACAAAAGTGTGGTCAGCACATCCCATCAGAGGCTTCTGATGCAACAAAGTATGCAGAGTGGCAGAAGATAAAAGGGGTAAAGGGAATTGCATAATCCCTGGGAGATCCACCAGTGGGTATTAGGGCCCCCTCCATCTGCTAAACCTGAACCTGCAGGTCCCACCACTGAGCAGACAGGCACAGAACTTTCCACTCCATTAGAGAGTTAGGGTCAGGGCTGTACACCCAGTTGCAGCTATGGCTGAGATCCCACACATGTGTCTTACTGACTTCAGCATTTCCAAAAAACTCAAAAATTTTACTTGGAATGGGGAGGTTGTAGAAAAGAGAGAAAGAGAGAAGTGTCAGGTCCCACAGGGGGTAGGCTCATGGCCTTGATAAGGAAAAGTCTAAAATAAAAGAACCAACTCTAAAAATAAATTGTCTGAAATTTGCCTCCGTGTTTCAACGTGATGGATCAGCACAAGCCTTGTTTTATCCACCCAAATGTGAACCTAAATAAAGAGAAGTTTCTGCTGCTGCTCAGCTGCTGCGAGCTACTGAGAGGCTGTACAATCCTGTCGTAGAGCATTACAGCATCACCTAGAGATCATGCTGGAGCTACAGGTGTAACCTGGGAGGACATCCTGTCTTCAGAGGTATTTGAAGTTAACCTAAATTCAGCTGATAGTAGTTCAAGAAACAAAACAAACAAACAAAAAAACCCCACTGCAAAACAGTAAAACCAAAACAAACGGCTCTGGAAGTGGAGATACCACAACTATTGCAGAACCACCACATCAACAGCCTGCTGCATTGATGTGTCTCTTACCAATCTGGGTTGCAAACTTTGAGGTACAGTCAGTTTCTGACTAGGTGTGCATTAAGGACACGTGAGTCACTTATAATCTCATCCTATGCAATTATCAGAAACAGCTTTCATGATGCACTTCAAAGAGCAAGAACGTTTTTAGACAATTATGTTCTTTGCCATGGTACAAATTCAAAACCTGGGAAATCTAAATCAGAAAAGAGTATTTTCTCTGGGTTTAATTTCTTGGCTTGTACACCGCAGAGCTCTGGCTTCCCCTGGGAGATGAAGGTGCTCTGCCCACGCAGGTGGTGAGGGTGCAGGCTGCGTCCGGGAAGTCACCTCACGAGCCTGTGACAAGGCAGACCCTCGGTGCTAGTGCAGAGCAACACACTAAAGAAGACTAAAGGTCTCCAAGAGGTGAAGCAACTTGTTTTGTGGCCAAAGGAAACATGAGGGCTTCCTTAAATACTTCAGGCACTGCAGCTTCAAGCCTTAGAAGGCAACATTTTCATCCCAAAATAATGCTCTCCAAAGTGCTACTTCCAGGAATAACCTCACAGTGTTGCCAAGGACCACTATTTCTAAGGGAGTGTTATGGAGATGGCAGTCTTTCCCCTCCACAAACTGCCTCAGAGCTGCCAGAGGGGCCTCCATCGGTAAAGCAAGGCTCTAACGGCACGTGCCTTCATCGCCCCATTACACACAACGCAGTCACCAACGCTCAGCTCCCTACCTTTCTCTTGTTTCTCCTGGTCACCTTGCTGTTTATGGATGGTCACTTTGTTCATATAAATATACTCCTCATCGCCACCTGCAACCAAAGGGAGAAATGAACTCTTTACCCACTCGCTGCTTTCGCGTTGCCAAGTTTTTCCTAAAAAACAGATGTACTGTGCTGAGTACACTTGGAGAGAGCCTGTTGGTTGAGGCAATGTGCAGAAAAAAACCACCCAAGCAATAATAAAAAGTAGAAAAATTAAATCCTTTATAGTCAGGAAATTCCATAAGCTAAAATTTCTACTCAAACATTAACTTGGCCAAACACTACATCCTGTGTATCTTACAAAGTGGATTAAATAAACTTAAGGTTTAATAAGGAAAACAGAAAGGATCAGGAATCTTGGGAATCCTTTCCTTGTAAAGCTGGACACATAACTATAGTAATTTTACATAAACAATTAGAGGTCACTACAAAAATACTCTCCATTTCATTTTCTTCTAATTTTCATGTCTCCCCTTCTCACTGGCCTCCAAGAGAATGTTGCTTCAAGACCACATAGCAACTCCCATGAGAGCCCACCACCCCATCCCCAGTTTTCCTTGCCCGTACCACTGGACTTGGTGTAGACACGCAGGAGATCAGAGAGGAAGCTCTTCTTCACAACGGCAGTGCTGCTCAAGTTCTCCTTGTCCAGTATCCTCAGAAAATCTTCAAGTTCTGTGAGCAGCTGCTCGAGAGCTACAACAGCAACAGAGACAACCGTTGGCAAAGCAGTTGGGTGGCAAAAGAGGACGTACATTAAAATACTCTGTCTTCCAAGATTCTTTGCATTTTTCTGCCCAGGAATAATTTATATTTCATTTTCCAACTTGAGCTCTCCAGTTTCGAAAACAAAGTGGATCCCGAAATCAAAAAGCCTGCAGCTTCCCTTAATCTGTCCTTACATCAGTAACACCTATTAATACCTATTCTTCTTCCAGTATGACTTTTTGCTCAAAGAAGAAAGCTTGGAGGGACTTTGAGAATTAAGGCTGAGTTCACACAAAAGCAGCTGGGAGATACTCATACCTTGAGCCCTGGCAAACATCATTCAAGCCTCATCTGGATTGGGATCTACCAAAGACCCTGCTTTTTGCTTCCTCTTTCCAAGCCTCCTCCTTATTTCTCTGCAATAATTTGAAAACATTTATGCACGTGTCCCAAAAAAGAGACAACAAATCCCAGCGCACAATAGATAAATCATAATTCAGCAACTTCTCACGCCATCTTGCTTGGGTACTGACCACAGAGATCATTGTATCACATGGAACTGAAGACCCAAGACCCAGCAGCATCTCAGCCAGCCTCAGGAAAACCTGTTATACAAAAGACACCCCAGCACAGCCCCAGTAAGCCCCCGGGACACACCACTCCCCAGCATCGGCAGCAAAGCCAGGCTAATAGGTTTGTTTTCCTCCCGAGAAGGTGCTACTCTGTCACTGACAAATCACTTCTCTGACAGGGCTCATGCGGAAGCAACAGCCTTTTAACTGCCTGCTTTTGTTCACACTCAAGTTTATCGTGGGCTAATTAGCAGCAGTAGCAGGAGTCCATTCCAGGGAGGAAATAACAGTTTTAAGTGGAGAGAGGAAACGCTGAGCAAGAACAACGGCATGTGGAAAAAGCATGGAAAACCCAGCCAGGGCTGTTCTCCCCTTTGGAGGCACCCCTGTTTCCCCACTCCATTGCTCTTTCATACTGAGGAGCTGCAGGGGAGACAGGCAGCAGGGCTTGGGTTTGCCAGCGCCAGGCTGCTACCCAGGCTGTGACTCCCCAGCACACCTCCAAGGAACATGACACATGGACAATTTAACTGGACTCCCCTTACTTAGAGTGTTTCCATGCTGTGTTTCCCCTGTGAGTCACAGCTCACATCAGTGAACTAGAAAAGTGTTGATATTTGGGTTTCATAGTGTGTCTGAATCCTATCTAAGTGCTACCCCCTCCAAAGTCACAGTGAACGTTGTGTGAGAGCAAGAGAGAGCCATGATCTTGTTCCCTCGTCTTTAGCCACCAGACAACCCTTCCTTGGATGAATACATGTTAGAAGATTGATAAAACATAAATTACACTATAAAGGTTTATGTTGCTAGCTGTTAATTGAAAACCATACTATTGCTCTCAAATTGTATTAATCTTCACCATCTTGACTGTAAAACAGCCTAATGACTCCAGATCAATCAATAATAGCTCCAGAGGAACCTACCAACTGGTAGTTCTTCACACTTCATTTTATACCCTCTACACCCAATTAATTCCCTTCTGGTCTTATTCGGGACCAGCAGGGAATGGAAAATGTCTGTATCACACCACGTTAACTTGAATGCTTGTGCTAGCTGCTGTTTTGCCCAGCTCTAACCCCCTACAACCCAGAGAAAGCAAGAACCACTTCAAGGAATAACAGCTTTTTCCATAAACCATAAGGAAACTGGTAGTATTTGTTGACAACAATTTTAGATGGCACTGATATTAAACAGTGAACTGGCAGCATTTGGTGTCAAAAACACTTACAATCAGCTTCTCTCAAGCTTCAAGGACCCTGTTTCTTGTAAGTTCAAAGAAACTCCACTGGTGTAAATCACAGCCTTGCTGTACTCATTTATCTGCTTCAGTGGCCTACTTAAAAAAAAATTTAAACTGAGGTCAGTTCCTGTTAGTCAGGCCTGGTGGACATTATGTGTCAGGGATGGTATCAGAAGAAACAGCATAAAATACCTAATCGTAGTCTGAAGCTTCAGAAGTGGGTCAGCTTCCAACAGCTGCCCATGTGAATGCAATGATACTGGGTTTGCAGGGAAGGGGATAGAATTCCCATTCCCTCCTCCACCCCCACAACTGCAGAAAATGATTTTATTCTTCTCCCAGGCATCCACAGCTAGCACACACACAGGGCTGAGCACTTATGAATAGCACAGCCCATACAGTAAGTTACATTTTCCAGCCCACCAAAGCGGAATTCAGGCTTCTAGTAACTCAAAGCAACTCATTTAGGATGTGATTCTGGGGCCACAGAGGTCAATGGAAAGACTCTGTCAGACTTCAACAGATTCTGACTTCAGGGACTCAAGAGATTCACTTTGCTCTTCTTCAGCAAGCAGCAACATATAAACCATCTGCTTCTATGCGAGTATCTCTTTGATCCCAGCTGGACATTCCCAATCCAAACCCAATACCTGCAAAAATAAACTGTCATTCAAATGAATGCAGCCATTCATTTTCTCATATTAGAAGGAGAACAACATAGTACTTATCAGAGTGATGAATGTGAGAAGCTGGAAGAACTAACACGATGTGAGTCTGTAAGATCCTCCGTGCAAACAAGTATTGCAGCAGGTCCCAGCGGGTTAGCAAGACTAAGAACAGTTGAGAACTCATGTATGCCAAACCATCTCAGGATTTTGAATGCTGGAAACCACTGCTTGATCTCAGCTAAACACCTATCATGCTGTAGTGATGATATATTGAACATGCTCATGGCAAAACGAGGTTGGTGGTTATCCAAAGCAGCCTGAAACAAATGGGTCTCCCTGCAAGCTGTGGTGTTTTGCTCTCCTTATCTTAGCAGTTTAGAAATGAGAACACAAAAAGAGATGATTCCTGTAACTAGGCTTGCTCTGCAGGGCAATACTTACAGCTGCAAGGAACGTGTTTGCAAAATCAAATGGCTGTGAGCATCAGGATGAAAAAATTAGAAGCAGACAAAAGCCTCAAACCTAAGACAGCGCAGTTCTCAAAGGTGCGTTTGAGAAACTTTCTTTCACAGCTACATTGCTCTTCTCAACACTCATAACACTTCTTTGTGAACCACCAAGTCCAACGTTTCTCAGGTAATCTTTCTGAAGCAACCCCAAATAAACATCTCCATAGCACTTGCAAAAATTCAACCTATTTCATGGAAAACAAGATTCGCAAATGACAAGTCAGAGAAGCAACAGAGGGAGAAGGTGATTTGAGTCAGCTTGCAGTGGTAGAAGCCATCCAGCTGGATTTAGACATTGCCAGATGAGAAAAGTGACCAATACTCTCTCTACATCGATGCATGGATGGCAGCAAATGCTTTGTGGGGCTGATTAAAAGAGTGGAAGTGAAATAACTGGCAACACAGAGATAAGCCCAACCAAAAAAGAAGTATTGGCCACATATGAAGGAGTCAGAGCTGCTTTGGAAGGGATTGGTATTGAAGGACAGTTCATCCTAGTAAAACGATTACCAGTACTAGGTTGGGTGCCCAAGGGTAAGGTTCCTTTCACACATGCTACACGGAGTAAATGGGTTGCATTAATCACACAGAGAGCTTGAATAGGAAAGCATGCTTACAATGGTGGAAGCAACCACTGGATGGCTGGAAATATATTCCTCTGCCCAAAACACTACCCTGGGCCTTGAAAAGTGAGTCTTAATCTCTAAAGTTAAGATTAGCCCAGAAGAAACAAGAGACTTAACCAAGATGACTGTGAATACCTCTACTGAATCCAGTCCTTCCAAGCCTCAGGTCTCAAGACCTACTCCACCTCCTTACAAAGTCAGATATCACAGCAGAGCTCATATAACAATCTTCTTTTCCAGTCACAGGCATCAGTCAATGGATGAAACCCATAAGGATTTTGGAACATATGATAGAGAGAGGAGTAGAATCATCATAGTCAGTTGAAAACTTGCACCTGCAGTGAGTGGATGGTCACCGCTGAAAGGACTGAACTTTGTTAAAGTGTATAGAAATACCACATCTTTACTGATGTAACAGGGACTTACAGGGTTACGATAAAAACTACCAGCTCCTCTTGCATGCAGTTAATTGGATAACAAGGAGTGTTCTCCTTCCTTTTATTCTAGGGCAATGCAACCCTTTACAGAAACTCCTGGGCAGCCCTCTGACCACAGCAGACTCTCTCTGTTTGAAGGTTGCAACTCCGGTCACAACAATGAGCAAAGAGTTGTTTGAAACACAACTGGTCTGTTTCAACAGAATTCAGTGGCAGTAGGACAGCACTGAAAAGGGCTTCTTTTGGCAGGAGTCTACAGCCTTTCTTCACAAACAGAAAGCCTCTTGCATGGCAGCAATGTCCGTCCTAGTTCATGTGAAGCTGGAGCCAAAAATGCAGCAGCTTGCAAAGCCCCCATTGAGGAAGCACATTCCTTGCAAAAGAGCTGCCAATTTTGCCTGACACCAAGGTCACTGAAAGGTAAATGACCATTAAACTAGATTATAAAAGCCATTCCGTACCAATAACCACTGATCTTTGTCATTGTGCTACAATAACAACTTATGTCTACATCTAATTACTTCATGTCTTGGCCTTATGAGGAAGTGGAAATATAGGCTCAGAATGAACTTCCATTCAAGTGTTTTAGTAACCACTGGGCAGGATTATATTAGATCATTTAATCTAAATTAGATCATTTAATCTAAATTCAAATTTTTTTTTTTAAAATCAAGGTAGAGGGGCCCCAGCCACTGGACAAAGAACTGAAATAAGATACATACTAAAGACAAACTCTTCACTTCACTGAGAGGTGAAAGATAAGGAGCATCATTTATTAATAGGAAATTAAAGCATAGGGAAATTAAGCAATTTGTCCAAAGATACAGGTGTATTCTCCATCAGGTCAGGAATACAGCTTTCCTGTGTCCCATCTTCCTGCCAAACCAGCCTTCCTTAGATCCCCAAAACACTGGGAGATTTCCCACCCTCCTGCCA